TAATTTCTGGATAACTGAGAGCTCCACTTCCACATACTAAATTGCAATTTGTAGATCTGTCCCTTCCTGCTTCTGAGTGCCCTTACACTTCCTCTGTGTTTGAATTCCTGTGTGTAAGGGAACTACAGGGATATAAGTCTGTGTAAGGGGGGTTCTCATCCTGTCAAGGGCTGGTTCTGGGCTGCTCCATGATCTCCTCCCCAGCTTTCATTCCCAGGTGTGCTCTGTGCCCTGCTCTCTCCATGTCCTGGCCTGGTCAGTCCAGCTGCTCTTTCTTTCCCTGCTGTGCCCCAGTGCCCCAGGGAGCTGTGTCCATCCCCTTGAGCTGTGCTGGCCCCAGCACCCCTGCTCCTGTCTGACCTGCCAACTGCAGAGGAACTGCACAGCAGCCTGGCCTGGTGGGAGGGTCCCTCCCTTCCAGGGAGTCGGGTCCAGGGGTGCTTTAAGGTGCCTCCCAACCCATTCTGGGATTCTCTGTAATCACAAAGAAAGGTAAATCTGCTGTGTTGGGAAATGGGATCTTTCCTTCAGGAGGTTTGTCTGCCAGAACCTCTTTAAATTTACCCCATAAAAATCACCATACGTTGAACAGCAGGTAAAGCTCCCTGTCCCCTCCTACCCCAAATCCTGCCTGCACATGGGATATCCCAGCATGTGGAATGTCTCTTCCCTGTGTGAGCTTCCAGGCAATTATTTCTCATATTTTCAGAACACTGGGTTCACATTACTGTGCTGATCCTTATCCTGTGGGTTGTTGGGAGATCTCTTGGCATTGTCACTTGTCTGCAGGAGCTGTGACTGTCCTGTCCTCCATTCCAGGCACCCAGTGGCGTCATTTTTCCACTTATTTTTCCGAGTCAGTGCMATAGTTGTTTATCTGCTCTGTGAGCTCCTAACCAACAGCTTCATTGCCTGCATGGTGACCATCATCCTCCTCCTGTCCTGTGACTTCTGGGCTGTGAAGGTGAGTTCCTCTTGTGCTCTTTGTTATCTTTGCTTTGCTGTGATACTCACATCTCAAATAAAGGAATTTCTGTGTGCTTTGGCCACAAAATGRTGTCCAGAACCACCCTCAAGTACTGCGGTAGATTGCAGAGTGTTGTGAAATAAACCCTGAAATCTCAGTGTACTTGGTCCTTTTTGAAAATCAAAAGGAGAACATTTCTTAGACTTTGTCTTGAGGTAGCAAAGGGTCTGTTACCAGCTCAGAATCACCACAAACCTGCCCCACAGTCAATCTGGCATTGTTCTGGATCTCTCAGAAAATGGATTGTTGTGGATCTTGTTCTCCCAAATGTGAGGCAAACAGGCACCCTGGAAAACAGCAACCCAGGAACTGAGCTTTGGCYRAARGTTTCTTTTAGCAAAGCTTCTGTTYYCTTTCAGAATGTCACAGGGAGGCTCATGGTTGGCCTTCGCTGGTGGAACCAGGTGGATGATGATGGCAGAAGTCACTGGGTCTTTGAAGCCAGGAAGGTAAATGATGGGGTCTTTTTTTGTAATCTTTTAAATGTTTCTGGTTTATGAGYCCCCTATGAATTGGTGGTTCTGCAACATTTACTTTCAGCCACAGATATGTAACCTTGTTTAATGTAGGTTGCTGGATGGGCTTTTTTATTGTTGAGTTATTTTAAAATTCTCATGATATATTGATCTGGTTTAATATAAGTAATAYAAATAACATAAGCAATGGAAGTCTGTGTTTTCTGGAGGTAGGAAATTACTCCTTTGCCTGTTTCTAAGCTTTGTAACTGAACTATGCAGGAAATGTAATTTTTCCCTAACTTACCCTTTTAGCCCTGAACATTGCAAGGAGTTTTGATGCTTTTGCTTCCAGTGATTCTGAAAGAAAATTGAAAAAAGAGTTCCTTACAAAGAAACCCTTTCTGTTGTAGAGATGTCTTTGTGTGATTAGAAATGAATCTTGRAAGCACCCAGTGCTGGGTGTGGAGGGAAATCCCAGGGAGTGTGGGGTTCTGCCCTGCTTTTAAGGACAATGGGATCTGGAGGATAGAGCAGCCTGTTCACTTCCATTTCCTTTTTGTTTCTAGGTGTCAGCACAAGGGGGTAAAACCTCATCTGAAGCAGAGTCCCGAATTTTCTGGCTGGGCCTGATCACCTGCCCCATGATCTGGGTGATCTTTGCCTTCAGTGCTCTCTTCTCTTTCAAAGTGAAGTGGTTGGTGAGTCCCTCCCTGAGCTCCAGAAGGGATCTGGCACCAGCCAAGGCAGGAGGTGGCAGYTGGTGACTTTGTTTCTGTGTCACAGGCAGTGGTGATGATGGGGGTGGTGCTGCAGGGAGCCAACCTCTATGGCTACATCAGGTGTAAAGTAGGCAGCAGGAAGAACCTGACCAGCATGGCAACCAACTACCTTGGCAAGCAGTTCCTGCGGCAGGTGAGGCAAAAACAAGGGTGACTACAGAACAAAGTTGGCATTTCAGGTTCTGTAATGGGAATTCTGTAATGGCTGCTGCCTTGGGAAGCTGAGCCCCCTGAGTCCTGTCACAGTCACTGCTCCCTGAGCCCCCTGACTCCTGTCACAGTCACTGCTCACTGTGGCCATCCCAGTGCAGCACTGGGTTATTTGCTGGGGCCATGGGCAGGTGCCATGGGAATCCCTGGAATATGATTGTACTGGAAATAACCCTCATGACTGACAGGGCTGCCCCTGCCCTTGGGGCTCCTTCCCCCTTCCACTCCGCTCTGCTCTGCTCTTTCCCAGCTCTTCCTCCTTCCAGGGGTCCCTGCAGCAGCAGGAACAACCATCCCTATTCCACTTCCAGGCTGTCCCTTCACTGCCACTGGGCCGGTTTTTCTGTCTGTATTGATGATGGCAGAGGTGTTTTAGCTGCCACAGGTTCACAAATATTTGCTGGAATTACTGAAGTTAGTGTGATCAGAAGCTCAAACATTGATGGACCTTTCTTGGCACTCTGTGCTGGGCCCCCCCACTCCCTGATTTGCTCCTCAATTCCTTTCCCCTGGCAGGGGTTACCCAGAGGTCCAGGCCAGTCTCAGGCTCTGGCAGAAATGGATGTGTTGCCCCAAAATCACAGCAGTGACTCACAGAGCTCTCCTGCCCTCTTTGATTTTGCTTCCTGCAGACCATGGCTACAGAGGACCAAGCAGCATCCTGAGTGTGGTGGGAGCCTCAAGCCAGGCTGATTCCCAGCACTGACCAGCAGAGGACATTGCTCTAACCAATCTGGGAGCTGCACACAAGGTGTGAATCAAAAGAAGTAAATAAATTGTGCAAGACTTGAGGTTAACACTCCTGGCAACTTATATTCCATTTTCCACTAGCATTTTGTGTTTAAGTCCTTTAGTTTGATTAATGAGAATTAATTTGCTTAAACTTTAAATTAAAAGATAGCCTGAGTTGGTTTCATACAGGTTTAGAACTACTGAATGAGTTAAGAGAAAATTGCTGGAGATTATTCAGAAAAGCCCTGCACAAGCTGAGCCGTGGGAACTCTCYTGCTCCTTCTTGGTGCCTCAAGTAGTTTCAGTTGTGGACAGGTGTTGCTTTTGGAGCTTGTTGTTGATTCTGTTGCGGTTGAAGGAGTGATTTTTGGCCCTGCATCCCCCATTCTGTGACTGGAACGGCGCTGAGTGGTCACAGTGAGGGGCATCTGAAGGAAATGGAGCTGTTGGCTTGGTGAGAAGATGGCTGAAGTCTCATGGCAGCTGCAGAAAGTGCCCTGTGAGCAGGCCCTGGTCTGTCTGAAGCATTCCCAAATCTTGGGAACATCCCAAACCCCTGGATCTGTGGGAATCCTTGCAGGCTGTGCCTCTGTGGAGAGTGGAGTGGGAATAGAACCAGTTTCCTGGGAAGGCTGCACCCCCAGGTCCAGCCCTGCTCTGCCTGACCTGTTCCACCAAAACCTGGAGTGTCCTGGGAGGGGCCATGGGGCATTTTCTCAGGCCAGGAGGGTGTAGGGTGTGTGATCAGCAGTTCCYTTGGCCCAGGGGCACAGGGAGTGGGACTGGCAGGGTGTTACTTTCCTGYAGCCCATGCACTGTGCTGTCCTTAAGCTCCCCAAGGAGTCTGGGAGCTGGGGGATCATGGTTTTTTTTTGTGGGATCATGGATKGCAGTGGTCACTGGGGTGGCAGAGTGGGTGTTCTGAGCTCATCTGTGCAGAGGGGGCAGTTCCTTCTCATGGCATTCTGTCACAGGAGCTTGTGCTTCCACAGCCGGGGCTGCTGAAACCTCTGGATGAGGGATGTTAAATGAAGAATGGGGTTTCTTTTTGGGTTGTTTTAAATGGGGTTGCATTAGCCTTGTTCCTCTCCCTGTGCTCTGCAATACTKGCAGCTGTGCATTTGTTTAACTCTTTGGATTGATACCTTCTTTTGTAAATACTATTTATAAAATCTTGAAATTAAAATACTGCTTTGTTTACCCAGCCCAGACATCCCTTCTGTTGTTCATGGCTCACTTAATTTCTACCCCGTGTCAGGCACCTTCAGCAGGGGTTTATTGCCCATTTAACCAGGGCTGTTGTGGAGTTSTGGCACAATTGCTGTCACCCAGAGYTCTGCAGAGTTTTCCCTGTGCTGACACTTCCCAAGCTGCTGGAGATGTCACCATGCAGAGCTGAAATCCTTGTCACCCTAAGGCTGATCCCCCTCAGAGGGCACAAAGGGGTGGCCCTGCCCAGACCCCTGGAAGTGCTCAGTKCCCACTCCAGAGCAGCTTCAATCCCCATTTACATTGAAGGGTTCAGTTATTTCTGAAGAAACGATGCAAAGAGGCCAAATTCAGTCCAACCCTGAAGGAAAGACACTTCAGCAGCCACATGGGGACATGCAAGTGCTGGTCCTGCAGGAAGGAGTGGGAATCCTTCCTGCTTCTGCTTGCTGCAGGGCTGAGGGGCTGGCACAGCTCCARCCACGAGGTGCTGCTTCTGAAATGTGTTAAAAGTTTGGGACTTCATGTTTATTCACCTGCTGCCAAATCTCCSTCCAGACTCCTGGAAAACAGGGCTTTTCTGGAAGTTGCAGTTTATTTAACCAAGGACAGAAGCATTTCTTAGTAGGTGCCTTTAAATAGAGCCCTCTTTGGGTTATTTTTGGCTCTTGGCAAACAGTCAGGCTTGTGGCTTCTGAGAAACTGGCAGTTTACTGCATTTCTGTCGTGGATCAGAACCAAATTTCTTATCTGCTGCAGCTGGGTGTGAGTCTGGTTTGATTCTCACTYGCTGTGAGCTGGGGTTTCCTGGGGAGCAGGAAGTGGGCGTTGCCTCAGAGCAGAAAAATTCTCTGAATGTGCTTTTTTCCACAGGCCCCAGGATTCCACACAGAGCCARTTCCTTCAGCATCAGCTGGGTAAYGCTGGCCCCGCCTCAGACCTCAAAGCTGGGTGGGGGCTGAATGTGGAAGGTTTGCAGAGCAGAAATATTCCAGGAGCAATAATAATAATAATAATAATAATAATAATAATAATAATAATAATAAATACACTTGCTCTGAAATGGTGAAATGTGGCTCAGATGGTGCAAGCACTGCTGGAAGGTGGGCTTGGAATTCTCCTATTTCACAGGCTAAGCCCTGGAATATGAGCCAGGATGGAGCACTCTGGGGTGCTCACACTGATCCTTCCCGTCCCTGTTTGGTGACAGCAAGGACCTGTTCCACCCCTCCCTCTGCCTGTGCAGCTGCTGGGTGCTGGCTCCCCTGGGAAGGAGCTGGATTTAGGGTCAGAGGCAGTGCTTTTTGTGWCCCTGTGCTTTAACACATGATTGGATGTGTTGGGCTATTCCAAACCCAAAGAGCTTCACAGACAGGTTTTCCCCATTCCCTTCCCTCGGTTCTGTCCAGGATGCTGAGGGTGCCTGGCAGCCAGACCTGGGCACTGGGAGCCTTYCTGTTCCTGCAGGGGTTCCTTGGAGCCTGCTGGGGCTGCAGGGCTGCAGGGAGGCTCTATTGTCACTGCTTGCCAAGGCCACCCCCGGGACAGGAYGGGACAGGACAGGACAGGACATCCCAGCTGGCATTTGCAGAACAAAAAGCTGCAGTGCCTCTGGAACGTGACCTTTGGAGACCCAAGGCTGTGGCTGAGGGCGCTGGAAGCTGGCCAGGACTCAGTGCCACTTCCAGGACTCCTTGCAGGAAGGAATTTCTCACTTCCCTGCTGCCTTCCTGAGCAGAGAGCCCCASTTTGGCAGCAGGGAGCTCTTCCTCCCCACCGGGCAAACCCAGGCAGAGCTGGCACCTCCTCCCCGGTGCTGCGGGAGGGAAACACTCTTTCTGTGCTGGGGGTTTGTGCCACGGGGCTCTGTGTGTGTACCCAACGCACCCTGGGTGTGTTGGAGGCCATTCCAGCTCCTTCCTCTCCTGCCCTGRGGACAGCTGACCCTGGGGACACTGTGCCAGGTCCCACAGTTCTGTCCCAGTGCTCACAGCTGGAGCTCCACTGCTCTTCCTCAGAGACAGCATTGCCGGTGGGAGCTGCACGTGGCAGCCTCTCCCTGCTCCTGTCCTGGCTGCAGGGATGGCTCCGACAGCATTGCCGGTGGGAGCTGCAC